CCAGCTGGGTTGAAAGTCATGGTCTGGGCAAACGTGCCGGAGGCGCCTTAACTGTTTCTCAGGTCCGGTTTTCCAGTACCAGCCTGAGTAGCAGTTTATGAGCTACTCAAACAGTCTCGGAGGAAAACGCCAGGGCATCTCTTTCAGCGTCCTCATGCAAACACAAACAAAGATTACAGAACGGTTCCAGGCCATCTCTACCGCAAGCATTTAATACCAGGAAGGAGTAATTAGCAATCAAGCATCACTTGCCAAGGATGAAGGATATTGCTGCCTGTTTTCATTGCCAGGGAAAACCTATTTAGGGAAATGAACACAAAAACAAGATGGGCCACTTCAGGGCTAAGAAAACAATTACAAAAGCCATAGGAGTCTTCGGAGCATGGCACCAGGTTGGCGAAGGAGCCCCCAGGCAAACAATTAACACGCAGGAAGGCATCCTCCTCCGAGAGCAAACGAATGGCACCACCGTGGCCAGGGAGGCGGGAACGCCACTGTCCTGGATCTTCTAAGAAACGTTTCCCTACTTATGTCAAAAGTTAGCACTGTCATTCTAGAAAATCTGAGAATTAGAGACAAGTCTGAAAGAAGAAAAAAATAACATGATCCTATCTTCTAGGGCTTAACATTTTCTTTTTTGTCTTTTATGGAAGGTAATATTATTTAGGTAACATTGTGCAGATAATTTTGATTCTCCCTTTCTTTACTAAACAGAACGTGACCATTTCCTGTTGGTATTACATTAAGAACTCCTTGTAAACATGACGTCTAACGCTTTTTTCCAAACCCACAACAGATGCTCGCTGCCCCTTAACCACGCCCCGACCACCACCTCCCTACCCCGACTCCCTTGTGTGCTGGCTGTGCTGTGATCTCTGCCCATTTTTCAGATGATTCCCTTAGGATGGATTCCTGGATATAAAATTCCTGGTTCTGCTGTATGGCTCGTATTACGTACTGTCACATGGATTTCCAAAAAGTTCACTGCAATTTAATTCTTTTACCTAACACAACACGAGCATGTTGTCACCGGTAATGGGTATAGGAATGAAAAAGCAAGTATTTGCTAATTTGAAAATAAAAACACATGATGGAGCCTCATCATGTGTTTCTCTTCTAACCCTTTGCCCACTGATGCACGAAGCACATGTTAAGTACCTCTCATGAATCCCTGAGCTGTGGGGTTACTGAGCAAGACAGCCTGGGCTGGAATCCCAACCTCTGCACTTACCAGCTACGGGGAACCTCTCTGTGCCTATTTCCTCATCTGTGAAATGGGGGTGACACCACATGCTGTCTTACAGGATTACTGTGAGGATCGGACAGGAAGTACGGTACCTGGCAGACACACGCTCCATTACTATAAACAAGGACACAAGCCTTTTGGGGTATTTGTTGCAAATGTTGTTTCCTTTTGGTGTTTACTCCTGAGATGCCTATGAACAATTCTTCAGATAGGGAGTATTTTAGTTCATGAAGGTAACTCAAGGCACGAAACTTAGGTTTCCATGTGGGGAGCTGGTGGCAGAGACAGGCCCGGTTTGCAGACAAGGAGATGAGGGCAGTTCCTGCTTCCATGTGGGCTGAGCAGACCGTAGCTAGATGCCAGATGAAGAGGTGCAAAATGCCAGCTCGGATTAGGCCAGCAGGGCGTCATCCTGCCTGCCCGCCAGGCCCCCTGCGGCATCACCGCCGCTTTCTAAAAACACGATGCCAGAGCGCCTGCCCCACGGTTCTGATTCAGTGCGGGCGGGCCGAGGACCGGGTCTCTGTTGCTAACGGGCCTTCCGGTGACTCTGATGCCCAGCCAGGGTCACTGGGCCGGGCCAACGGCGAGCCCTGCGGGACATCCACATGGCGTCCCAACCTCCAGGTCTCCACGGTTACTCCACACGTCTGTCACCCACCCGCCACCCGCACCCTCCTTAAGACGCATCATGAATTTTGGAAGCGACCTCTGACCTCTCCAGCCGCATCTTGTGGGAGTGTGGGTGCCAAACCAAAATAATGCCAAAGAGATAGCCGACAGTCTTCAGGAACTATCCCGGGAGGCTGATTCTACCACGAAAGCTTGGGTCTCAGCTCCCCGACAAAGCTCCTATCATTATGAAAACCAGTTTGTGACCAAAAGGGACAGGAGCTCTGCCCCTGAGCCCACCTCCCCGCATGCACCCCCATTCTCAACAAGGAATGTTTTGTAACAAGACAATTCACACGCTAACGCTTATCCGTCTCAGCAAAGTTCCCAGTTGGAGGCTTTTTACAGGGAACTATACTCAGAGCTTTCGATTCTAGTGGGGGTGGAGGCATGGTCAGCAAAGAAACAATAACACCAACAAAAGAACAAACTCTTCCCAAATGCTCAGGGAGGAAAGAAAGAAATTCTGGAAGGCAAGTGCCCGAGAAAATCACGCACGACGGGAAACCCGTCATTACGGGCCCGACGCCGAGCACGATGACCATGTTGGGGCGTTCTGACAAAGCTAGACGGGAAAACCAAGTTCTGAAGATGCCAAGGACTTTAAAAGCCAACACTCACTTCAAAAAGTGCCCCTTGGTCCAGAAGTTCAAACCACAGCATGCATTTTGAAAGAGAAAATAAAATCTGACATACTTTGGAGGCTCTTTCACATAGCGGGGAGAAAAGAGGGTCAAGGGCAGCTCGGGGCAAGAAGACAGCGTGTTGCGAGGTGGGCGGCTCTTCACGCGGCCACCTCGCGCCTCGCCAAGGACTCAGAAACCCCGCCGACCCCGGACACGTGAGCCTGTGTAAGACGAGCCCTCTGGGGTCGAGGCTTTTCACTAAAGATAGAAAAAAATCATCTGTTGGAAAGAACATGCTCCTATAAGGCCACGACTCTAACTTAATTCCAGTTGCGAAACCCAGGATGGGAAAATAGCTCCGCCGGGACTGCGCCGTCTCACATCCAAGCACCAAAAGGAGAATTCTGGGTCTCCCAAGGCGGCCTTGGAAATGACCTGGGAGGAGCTCGGTTCCAACCCGCCTGTCCCGTCCCCCCGTCAGTATGTGACCGGCAGTAAGTGGCCTCTTAGGACTGTGGCCACGGAGGGCCCAGCGTTCCTTCAGGCCACAGGGGACATCGTAGTGCCAACACAGCGCGGCCACATCTCAGGGCCAGCCATTCCTAGGATCCCAAAAACCAGAGGTCACCCAGCATATAAAACCTGCTCCAAAATGGCAAATATATTTGCATCTCAGAGGTTAAAAGCAATGTCAAAGGAGGTGCTTTGACAACGGAAGTGCAGGGACTCTCAATGCTCCACACTGCCACAGAGGCTTCCATCCGGCAGGACGGCGTGGCCAGGACAGCCCGGCGTGGCCCGCGCCCGGCAGCGTGGCTAACCCAGCACTGCCCCACATGTCTTTTATTGACTGGTTCACCACGGAAACAATCCAGTGAGCTGAACAACGGGGGTGCTCTTGCATCTGCAGTCCTCATTTATTATTGAAAACCAAGAGCCAACAGCAGCCTCTTCCCACCCACTGGCACCCCCGCCCGTCTCGGTCACACACACTCCACCCGTGGACTTCAGCCCCGCCTCTCAGCCCGAGACCACACCCCCTGTCTCTCTCACACACACACGCACACGCACACACACAGGAAGGGGACTTACATCACAACTGCAACCTACAGGAGATGATTCAACCCAGTCTCTGCATCTCCACGAAGGTTACAAACCGAGTTAACCCACAGAGCCGGGGTGGGCTCCGGTCTCTGTCATTCTAGATGCGCATCCGACAGTTTCAACACACGAGAATCCAAACGAGCTCACCCCGCATTCAAACCAGGCTTCTATTGGTTAACGGTAATTTAAATGCATTTTTCAGCAAGTAAGATCAGCACAAGGTACGTGGAATAAGTTAAAACACCTTCTCCATCTTACCTGGCTCTCTCCCCTGCAATAAATAGCATCTTCCCTCTGGTTCTGTGGCCCTGTACTAGTCTGGAGAAGCACTAAGATCATGAACAGAACCACAGCTCCAAAGCATCCTTGGGGCCTTGGGCCTGGCCCAACGGCAGGGACCACCACGTGGCTGGCTGGATACCACGTAGCCATCCCTTGCGAGCGGCTGAGGCAGGGCTCAGGGTTAATGCTGGGGAACGCTTGTCCGAGAAATATGAACTCCGGACGAGTGCCGTTTGTGTCTACTGAACCTTTTAAAACGATCTTTTCCAACCTTCATATTTCCAAAGAGTAACACACTCCTTTGCACAACAAGATTGAAAGTAACACCTAAACTTGCAAAAGGCAAGACACTCCGATGTGCTGGGTGGACACCTCACACGCACTCACGTGCCAACTGCAGGTGAAGTTTGCAAAACACCGGCAAGCCCATCGAGCGGGATTCCTTAAATGAAGAGAACGTTCAATCCCCTTATGTACTGGCACAAGCTCATTTTCAAAGCATCTGCATTTATATAAGTGTCCTTTTTGTGCCATCCACACCAGCCACCCCTCTTGCTCAGGCTCCTTGGTCTTTGAAAGCCACCATCCATCTGTCCAAGAGGGCTACTACTGTAACCCGCAAATCAATGCGCTCTTAGCTGCCAGCACCACAGACCTCATGCCAGCGGACGCCACACCAGAGTGCTCGCCAGCGTGCCCTCAGGACACGACAGCGGGGGTGACACCTCTGGGTGTCTATTTGTAGAGTCATAACTAAGCAACCCACAGATCCACACGTGCCCCCAGCATCATGGCGACCACACGTCTCCTTCTACCTGCTACTCATGCCCAACGGCCAACTTCCACATATGCTATTCATTTCCTCCTTCCAACGAGTTGCAGCCCAGGCCTCAAAGACCACCAGACACACGTCCGCAGGGTGAGGGGTCCACAGCGGGCTGAAACAACCACGCAGCAAACGTTCACGGCAACCCCAGGCCTTGTGGCCGTGCTGCCAAGAACACGCCCCGCTTCCCGATGAGAGTCGGCGCTCTCCCCAAGCAGAGAGATGCAGACACCGGGGTCCCTACCTCAATCAGGAAGTCCCCTGTCCTCAGCCCGGCTTGCCACGCCACCCCGCCTTCGTCCACGGACTCCAGGTACTGCAGGGCCGGGAACGCCGGCGTCGGTGTGAATTCTTCAATGGGCGTATCCGCTGGAGAGACAAGGAGCGCCTTGTTAGGAGCCTGGGAGATGGTTTTCCACGCGAACAGCCCCTGACCTCCCCACGGGGCCCCGGGAGGAAGAGGCCCCAAGCATCTCCCATTGGAAGTGGGTGGTCCAGGCCAACTTGTCCCCAGGGAAGGCTTAAGCCTCAAACTCACGGGTCACCCCCAACCCAAGCCACGACACCAACTGCGTGTTGGTGCCACCATCATGGCTCTTGGCCTCTCTGCTGGAACCACGGATAGCATGCTCCGTGGTACATGTCTACATGCCTGTCATTTTCTTTAAAAGCATCAGTGACTAAACATTTTCAGTTCTAAAAATGGAAAAGTTCCTCCCCTACCACACGGAGCTACAGAAACACCACACTGAACCACTTGCCAAATTTACATCTACGTAGACTCGCAACCAAGGGAATTCAACTTGGAACATGGACGGAACATCATGCTGACCCAGTGGGCGGCTGCGGATTTGGAATCTGCTCGCGAGTCTTCCCTACGGCAGCCCGGCCCTCTGTGACCTCATCCACGGGGGGGCTGGACCACAGGGCCTCAGCATGGCGAGGCTCAGCTGCTGGGGCCACATGCTGCCACATGCAAGTCCGGGGCAAGAGATGGACTTCCCTAGCAGGCGTGAGTGGCTGGGGGTGGATGTGTGTGGGGTGAAGACACAGCTGGGGGAGTGGAGAGCACAGCACAGAGACAGGTGTGGACATGCTCACGGGCACAGATCACTGCCTGAGGATCCCCGGGGCAGGAGGGGAGGCCGGCGGCGAGGCCCGAGGCACAGGTGCAGGCTCCCTGGCACAGCACACGCTCCGAGACGAAAACTTCCACATGGCTTACCCACACACGCGGTGGGAAGGCGTCCCCTCTCTTGGGGAGGCGATGCCATTTTGTTTCCTTTTGGAAGGGAAGCCCCCAAGATAAGGGCAGGGGGTGGGCACGCTGCCAGGGACTGTACCCCTGAGCCTCCCAACACGGGCCACGTAACGTGTGTGCTGCTGGCTCAGTCCACGGCAGAGGGGACCATCTTGCCACATTTCCTTTGCAAAGTCACCTTAGAGGCGAGCACACGGGTGCCTGCCGGCCTTGGAGCCGAAGCCCACTCCCAGAATGGGGCAGTTTCCAGACACCTGAAACTCAGACAGGGGGTAATTCTGGGTGTCTGAGGCCAGGAGCTCCAAAGGCAGCCCCGATCTGGCTAAACCAGCCCACAAAATATCGATCACCTCCACCATTTAAACAGAGAGGTGGGGGAGGGATGGGGAGGCGAGAGCGAGCCTATTCAGAGCAATATTGTGTACGGAAAATTAAAAATATTCCTAAAGGAAGCCCCAGCGTTTTCTGAGTAAGGCAGAATGTTAAAGAACATGGTTGTCTAGCAACCAAGTGCCCTCAGGAAAAATGCTTATTTCATGCTTGTTTCTGAGCCGGGGAATGTTTTTCATACAGGCGTGCACACACATACACACACACACACACACACACGCGCGCACACACACAACATGTGAACGCACCCAGGCTGGGAGCGGTGCTCTTACCTTTCGCCCCCCGGAGCACGAACCCGAAGCCCTCATTGTCTTTCTTCTGCAGGACCACGGTCTTCTCCTCGATGATGCAGTCGCTGTAGAGAGAATTCCGGGGATAGCGACCATTACCGCAGCCCGTCATCATCACGGCCGCTGCCCCTCCGCCGGGCACGTTCATCATCATAGCCAACTAATCACCCGGCCGCCGGACCCCGCAGCACCACGGAGGCAGCCGGGCGCGAGGGTGCGGGAGGAGCGAGGGAGGGGGGCGGCTGCCAGGATAGGCGAGCTCGGCACAATGAGGCTCGGAGGGGGCGGGCGGAGCGGGAGCCAGCCCGAGGCAGGAGTCACGCATGGTGGGGCGGCCGGCTCAAGGGGGGCTGGCCAGGACGCCGCCGAGAGCGAAGAAAGTAAGTGGCCCGCACGGCGGCGGCGGCGGCAGCGGCCTCGGCGGCGGCGAGGTGAGGGGGCCCCTCGGGCCTGCCCCGGCCACGCGCATCTTCCCGGGAAGCCCAGCGAGAGCGGCCAGCGGAGAAATGAGGCAGCAGTTCTGTTTTGCTTTTCCTCGAAGAGGGTTTGAGGGGAAAAATCGAATCCTGTCTCCTCGCGCAGGAGCGGCAGCAGGCGCCGGGGACAGACGCAGGGACCCGTGCGTCTCCGCAGCCAGCGCCCCCTCCCGCTCCCGTCCCGCGCGGCTGTGGCGTGGCAGGAGCCCCCACGATCATCTGACGAGCCCACGGCGCGCCGGCGGCTGCCTGGGCGTCATCCCGGAGGAGCGGCGGGGCTGGGCTGGGCGCGGGAGGGAGGGAGGGAGGGGGAGCGGCCGCAGCCTCCCGGCGGCGGGCGGGCGGCTCACATCCTGCAGCCACAGCACAGCCTCCCTTGGGGATGAGGGAGGGACTGCTGGGACCGGGAGGGGGGCGTCCAGCCCACAACCCAAAGCCCCTCTGCTCTGCCTCTCGCACGGCGTTTCTCTCTCTCAAAGGAGAGAAACCGCAGAGCTCCAACTTTGCTGTCGCTGCCAAGGCCTCCCCTGGTCTGTGCAGACGGACGGCACTCGGCCACACACCGTCCCCGAGGAGCCGGCTGTGTGGGGGGACCTGCACTGCCCGGCGGGCCATGAGGCCGTGGCGCAACCGTCGTCCACCCCCACCTTCCGGGTGGCCCACAGAGGCAGGGGCCACGCGCCCAAGGCTGCCAGCGTCCCGTCCCGGGAGCCTGCTGCCGCCCCAAGTCACCGGGGAGGCCGCTGCAGGGGGGAGTGGGGAGGGGAGGGAGGCAGCGTGGAGACAGGCCTTCTCCGGGGTCCTGCAGGGCCGTGTGCGGAGAAAGGACACGACTGCCAGAGGCCCAGACAGAGAGGGCTGCAGACGGGCCCTGAAGAAGCCGGCAGACCCGTCCCAGAGAAGCGGGCCCAGGGACATGAGTGGCGAGCAGCTGGAGAAACATGCACAGCCAGCTGTGACAGCACAGCCAGCCTGGACCAGGTGGCTCTGGGACGGGAGGGGGGAGATGTGTATAATAGGCCTCGAGTGTCCTGGACAGAGGACAGGGACAGGCAGCAGCCCCTAGAGGTTCCCATTTTATAGATGAGGCCAATGAGGTTCGGAAGGTTGAAGGACACAGCCGGGGGGGGCTCGCACCTGTTCTGACCACCCCCGTGCACCCTCCCTCAGAGGGCTGTGCAGAGGAACTCCCCGGGGGACCCTGTCCTCCAGGGCTGGCCAGCACGGGGGGTGAGGCACACCCCCATGGCCGCAGACCAGGGCAACCTAGCATGACTGGTCGGGCGCCCAAAAACTTGGCGGGGAGCTCGGTCTCTGGGCCCTCGCTCCACCTCCCCCCCCCCCAGAAACACCTGGCCACGTGCAGGGAGCCCCAGCTCGGGGGAGCTTGGCCAGGACTGTGAGCCCCACTTGGCCCAGCCTCCCGAAGCCCACCTGCCCTGCGCAGAGCCCCCAGACTACGGCTGGAGCATGGGCAGAGGTCCAGGGTCCTGGAAGCCCATGGGTGGTGTCACATGGCTGGTGTGGCCATTAGTAAGTGAAGAGGCTCTCTAAACCTCAGTTTCCCCACACATCCAGAGGTGGCGAGAACAAGCCTCTCATAATTACCGCAGGGTCAGAGGCCGCGCCCACAGTGCCGAGATGTAACAGGAAGCCCCGGGGAGCCGTCCCTACGATGGCTGTGAGTAGCCGCAAGTGGCCTTGGCAGGCAGCCAGGGCCCTGTGGCCCCGGGGAGGCAGCGAGGGCAGAACTTCACCGGGGAGTGGGCTCGCCCCGGCCCTGGGGCTCACAAGCGGCCGGGCAGGTGCAAACCTGCAACCTGCTTGTGGGCCTCCTTTGCCATGGAAGGTTCTCCAAAGGCCCCACCACCAAGGCCAAGGGCCTTTGGTCCATCCTACCGTATGTCTCCTCTCTGCATGAGGAGCTGCAGCCCCCGAAACTCTGGAAGGATGCCGGACCCGGGGGTCCAGGGCTCGCTGCCCTGTGCCGTCCCCTGCGATGTCCGCCTCTGCCCGGCTCCGAGGGGAACCTGTCGTGTACTCGGGGCCCTGTTCCAGCTGCCAGGCAGCTCCACCCGCAGGACCAAACGCTGCCCAAACGTGGGTCATTTCCTGCCAGCTGTCCCCCAGACAGGGGACTTCTCAGCACCAGTGGGGCTGCCCAGATACCCACTGTCGTCTCCTACTGACCACATGAGGTGAAGGTGCTCCAGGGTGGGGGGTGGGGGCACCCCCTGTGGCGTCACACGGAGCCCAGCTCTGCTCTCACCCAAGGTCACTATGACCTTCCGAGCCTCAGAGCCCCGCTCTGGAAAATGAGAATCCCAATGATATGTCACCGGGCCCTCAAGAGGCGTGCAAGAGCTAACCCTTCCAGCACGCCAGCCGCCCCGGTCCAGGTGTGCACTCATAGCAGGGACTGCGAGCAGACTGGTGTCTGCGTCCAGTCCCTCCCGACTCCCTCCTCCCGTAAGAACCCCTCCGATCTCGCCACCATCCAGGTTCAAACATTCTCCTCCATTCCTAACCCATCCCAGAACCTTCTAGCTCGTACTTGCGACTGTGCAACTGTCTTGCTGCTAAAGTGTAACGGCGCCATCCTGTTTACTGAACAAACACCACACTCCTTAGTCTCGTGTTGAGAAGGACCGTTTCTAACTTCTCTTTCCTGCACTATCTCAGGATCTAAACAGTCCCCTGTCCCCCACCCAGCGTGACCCCATCTCACTTTCATTCGCAGACAGACTGGGGTTTGAATCCTGACTCAGACAGCTACCGGCTCCGCTACTCAGAGCCTCAGTTTCCCCATGTGCAAAGTGGGGGCAAAAACATCTGCCTTGTAAGGTTTACAAGGAGCAATTGAGACAATGCCCAGTAAGTGCCCTGTGTGCGGCCAGGCCACCCCTAACCAGCATATGCTGCTCTTGGTGTCCCCACGCACCCTCCCACGCTGGGGAACCAAGGAGCAAATGTCCCTCTGCCCGAAGAGACATGCACTCGTGGGGCCAGGGACCTCATGCTGCAGGTCACCCCAAATGACCACAGCACCCCGCATGGGCCAGGCACCCCATGTGTGCCCAGAGGGGAAGTAAAATGGGCATGAACTCGAGTCAGCAGTGCAGCAGGGAGAGAATGGACGTTGGGCAGGGGTTGGCCAAAGGGTGACCACAGGGTTTGGAGTGTGGAAGGCTCCAGGACAGTGGGCAGCCACACCAGAGGGCAGGCACAGCTCAGCACTGGGCAGCGCCAACTCAGGCGGCTGGCGTGGGCCAGGGAGCCACAGAGGAAAGAGGAAAGGCAGCCTCAGGCCCTCAGAAACCTTCACTCCTTAGAGCAACTCACGAAGAGCAATGGGACATTCTAGAAGAGCCGCTCCCCTAAAACAGGACCCGAGTCTGGTTCTGCCCTGGGTCTGCAACATCCCGCCAGCCCCACGGAATCAGAACCCCACCCTCGGGCCTCAGGAAGGAGCCTCTTTGGAGATGCAAAACTCTCAGAAGCTCCTTCTGCCGGTTTAGGAACCTAAAATCTGTCCCAGGCGGCAGCCCTGGCCACGTCTGAAGTCGTGGCACTGAGACACGGTCTCTGTGTGCTGCCCCCGCCTGAACTGCAGTGAAGCCCCCACGAACTGCAGCCTGCTGCCCTCCGCCCTGGCCAAGCCCGCGCTGGCCCCACACCAGCTTATCTGCTGTCAGATGCAGCCCGGTGCACCCTGATCCGACCTCACGGGCGTGGGGTCAGCTGAGGAGGCCCCTGCACGCCCCCTCGCTGCTCCTGGAGAGCCTTGCCCAAGCCTCTGCTGGGGCCCTTCTAGCCCCAACCATTGACGGATCCCGTGTCTGCATGGTCACCGTGGGCTCCCTGGGAGCAACACCCTGCCCTGTCTCTCTAAACCTCGCCCCCAGGGCACGACATCTCCCTGTACTTGTTACCGGACCAGAATGCAGTCCAGTGGCATTCTCTCCAAATGTGCTTTCTGAGCAGGGTGGGAGGCCACCGTGACGTACCCCACATGTGCCTTCCTTTGCCAACTTGTGCCTGCAGCAGGAGCTGTGGGAAGCAGACAGGGTGGGCATGCAGCCCTGTCAAGCACAGCCGTGCAGGTTGTGCACAGCACAACTACAGAGGACACCACTTACACCGCGGCCCTCACAGAACCACGTGCTTACAGTGGCAATTTCAGCACAGATGGAAGCGAAGTGTCTTGGGAAAGGGGCAAGCACACTTGGCTAGTTCAAACAAAGATGGGGCATAAGCCATCGCCCGCCATGGACAATGCAAGAGCAGTCCTTATAGGAACCACACAGATCTCTGGGAGACACAACCAACTCCGTGCTGAAACTCTCCTGGGAGCCAGCCGGCAGGGACCAGGAAAGGTTTCCTCGTTTGTGCTCACGGCACCCAACAGGAAAGAGCTTACTGGACACACTTGCGGCAATCTGTAGCCAGGAGCAAGACGGGAGGGTTGTGGGGACTCCGGGTCCGCCACGCAGGGGGCCCCAAGGCGTCACCCCACTGGCAGGCCCGGCGATGCTCCTGCCGTCTACCTCGCAAGACCAGGTGGCTGAGCGTCAAGTGGTTTTTAGCGTGGCCTGGGGTTCACTGTCCCCAGCCGGCGGCCCACAGGGAAGGCCGCGCTTCATGTGGTCCGGGAGGCAGCAGGCGCCAGCAATGACAGCTGGCGTTTTTGGGATCTGTCAGTCTCCGAACAAGCTCCCTTGGCAGCGGCCCCTGATCCTGGAGGAGGCGTGAACTCGGAGCCACAGGAAGCCCGGCCTGAGCTGGCCGAGTCGTGTGAGCTCGAGGGCCCTGGGTGGCCGTGTCGGCCCTACCCCACAGGGTCCCCGTGGGCATCTGAACTGTGACCACCAGGGTCTCTAGGGTGGACTAGACAGCTTCATCAGCAGCTCTCAGGATTCCGGCTGGGACGGTGGCCCTGTCCAGTCTAACGGACACAATTCTTTAATCAGCTGGGACTGGGTCTCGGTCTAGGACTGAAGTTCAGACGCGGCTGGGGCCAGTGTCCAGCTGCCATGTCAAGCAGTGCCTCAGTTCAGCCATTACTCACAGCTACCTACTGCCAGGTGGTGGACGCCCGGGGGCCGGGCATTTAGGCGGACGAGCCGGCTCCTGTGGAGATGCCAGGTGTAGGGGCTGAAAGGTGCCCCGCCCCCCTGAAAGATGTGTCCAACTCCTAACACTGGCAACTGTGACTGTGGCCTCGTTTGGAAACAGGGTCTTTGCAGCTGTGCTTGGTTAGGGATCCGGAGGTGAGACCACCCTGGCTTTAGGGAGAGCCCCAAAACCTCACAAGGGAGAGGCGAAGGGTTGACCGAGACGCAGAGGCGGAGGGGAGAAGGCCACGTGGAGACGCAGCAGAGACTGTAAAGACGCGGCCAGCGCCCAGGAGCGCTAAGGATGGGGGCAGACGCCCCAGGCCGCAGAGGCGGGAAGGCTCCTCCCCCAGAGCCGCCAGGGGAGCTCGGCCCTGCCACACCTCGACTGTGGACGTCGGCCTCCAGACACCTCGATTGTGGACGTCGGCCTCCAGAACAAGAATCGGTTTCTCTTGTTTTAAACCACCCTGTTTATGCTAATCTGTTACAGCACCACAGGAAGAGCACACAGCAGGCAAGCGGGGAAGGCCAGCGTTCACCCAATGGCCTCACGGCTTGCGCTCAGCAGCGCAGGACGTGCTCTGCGAGGGACCCGGAAGGCCTCCTGGGGGGGGGACTGAAGCGTGTGCAGGAGTGAGTGGGGTGGGGGCTGGGGAGCGGACGAGAGGGAGAACATTCCAGACAGAGGCCCACTGGAGCACAGGGAGCAAGCGCACAGGGTCGTGGGTGTCGGCTGTCTGCACACCGGGGCACGGTCCAGGGACGCAGCTGGTGGCAAGATGTGTGCGTGCCGCGTCAGTGGGGCCTGGGCTGGCCCCCAGGGTCGGCGAGAAGGCTAAAGGGATAGCAAAGCAATCGCTCCCCTTACTCCTCCAGCTTCTCCCGGCCAGGCCGAGCCCTGCTGGGATGACCCGGGGCTGACCTGCACCTCGGGGCAGGAACCTGCACCCAACGATCGTGCTTCCATCTAAGCAATTCGTACGCAAGGGCTGAATGTCGCCCCGCTCAGAGGCCAGGGCTGTCCCTTGAAAGCAGCGGGGAGTGGCCTGTGGGGCCGAGGCAGACGACAGAGCTCCCACCCGCAGCTCTTTGCAGGGGCTCCCGAGGCCAGGGTGGGCACTGGAGGACACTGGGCCCTCCGGCAGGAGTGGCCGTCAGAGGTGGCCCAGACGCCGGGCACGGCACCCCTGCAGGTGCGTGGAGAGGGCAGTGCAGAGCCGCAGGGCGGGGCGGGCAGGGCCATTTCCACACCTCGGCCTCCCAGGCCCAGGCTCCAGCCATCCCCACGCACTGGGCAGGGGACCCGCCAACACACCTGCGACCTGTGGCATGAAATTCTCTGGCTCCAGAGTCCAAACAGCCTTCGGCGTGTCTGAAGTCTACTGCGGGGTCCACCCGCTGACCCGCTAAGCCTGCAGCCACCAGCGTACCGTCCACCGCGCAGCCGCTTGGGGGGCAGAGCCCCTCACCTTGAGGGACCCCCCGGCATGCTGGCGGCTGCTAAGAAGTCACAGAAGCCGCTGGGGAATGATCACGGTGAGCTACTTGCAGCCAAACGGGCTTAAAAGCAAAATTATCAAAATCATTTCAGAATTTTTTTATGGCAAAAAGGTACACTGGACGTGGGCTGTGGGTGCGTTGACTACGCACGTCTGCTGGATCTTGGCAGGGGACGCCGGGACTGAGGGCAAGGCCCAAGGGTGGGAGTGGCACCGGGGGGCGGGGCTCCCGCAGAGAGGCTGGGAGGCGCCTTTACTGCCCCTGAAAGCTCCTTCCCCGGGACTGGGGGGGGGGGAGCCGCCTCTCCAGGGCAGGTGACCAGAGCCCAGAGCAGCGCCTCTACATCGCTCCTCGTGTGATCGCGTTTCAGAGGCAGGGCCGGATGGAGGCAGGAACTGGGACACTATTAGAAAGAGGTGCCTCCAGGGAAAGGCAACGCCAGCGGATGTCCTAGAAATTTCCGGGCTCTGCCAATCAGGAAGGATGAGGCTAAGAAGAGAGCTGTCAGCTCCCCGTCACGGGGGCCGGGGTCGGGGTGGGGGTGGGGGGTTCCACAGGTGTCCCCGCCTTGCAGAGACGCCAGCCTGGGCCCCTGCGCTGCCGGGTGCGTGCACCCCGCCCAGCTCGCTGTGGCAGAGCTGGCTGCTGGCGGCACGCAGGGCCACTGTGCAGGCAGGCGGGCTGCAGGAGGACAGGGGTTCCCCGCTCATCTGTCACTTGCCGCCGCCAAGTGGGGGCCTCTCATCCCGCACCTGCTTCCCGGTTGGAGCGCTGCTCTCTCTCGCTGCCCTCCTCCGTAACCCGCGGGGGAAATGAAGCCCAGCGCCCAGGGCCATCAGGTGCTGCTGCGAGGGACAGCCCCAGCCGCGCTCTCTCGGGGCCGCTGTGCCGTCACGTGCGGGAGGGACGGACGCGGGTCATTTGCTGACGGAGGGCGCTTCCTCCGGCTGCTGGGAGCTCCCTCACCTGACGCGCAGGGGACGGGGACGGCGCCGCTCCACGCTGTGCTGGGGAGGACGACGCCCGTCCCCGCGGAGCCTGCGCACCTGCCTTGCGAGATGCGTGTTCATGGGAGCCATTTTTCAAGTCAGCAATTATGAGGACACCCTGCCCGGCGTTTATTACGACCATTTTCCTCCTCATTGCTAACATGATAAGCAATACCAGTTTTTCCTAATAGAAATAATAATGGGCAAAGAACTTGATTCAAATTAAATTGTCTCATTACTTCATAATAAATCACCCCCGAGCGTTTCCTAAGCGCTACCGGGCGTGTTACCTGCCAAGGACGGCCGGCGGGGAAGACAAAGATGGGGCTTAAACGTGTTCACCACAGGCAGGTGGGCGGCCGGGCTCCCTGCTGAGACCGGGGGAGGGAGGCCGGGAGGGAGGCCTGCCGCCTTGGAATCTCAGCCACCGGGTGGGACCCCGGCCTCCGCGACCTTGGCCAAGCTGCCGAACCTCACTGAACACCTGCATCCTCACCTGCCCAACGTGAGTGCCCACTGCAGCCTTGCAGCAACACAGCGGGCCCGAAAACACTTATTTAAAAAAGGCAGGATCTGGTGTAGAGCCGGGGCTGGAGGGCTCTAGCGGGTCGTGGGGACGCACCTTGTGCGCTACAGAGCTTGCTTCATTCTGGAAACGCCACGGATAAAGCGTGCCTGCCCTCAGGTGTCGTTCCCTGTGAGAGGGCGCCCTGCAGGTGCATTTGTGCAGAACAGGACGCCCCCGAGTGCCGGAAGGCGAAGAGGAGGAAGTCCCCACGCTGTGGCTCCCAGGCAAGGGGATCCTGGCACACAGAGCCGTGGGCAGGTGGGACGCAGGCAGGCCCGTGAAGGGGCCGGGGGAGGGGCACCCGGCAGCTCCCCGAGCCTGCAAAGACGGTGCGGAGTCTGTAGAGCGGCGTGGGACTCTCACGTGCTGGTCCAAGCCCAAGGAAGAGTCCTGGAGTGAGTTCTTCCCTCCCCGACAGTCAACCTACCGCACGTGCCACCAGCTGGAGCACCGAGGCAGAGCTGGCATCTGCACACCTGTCCACGACTTCCCCCGTTCCAAGCCCCCAACAACCTCTTTCACCTGGGCACCATGAAAGTCTACTGACAGTCTCCCCTGAATTAAAACCTAACATGTATCTCTCTCACTTAAAATACTCCAATAGATTCCCATGATAATTGAGGATAAAATCCAAATTCCCCACCACGGAGGGGGGCTAAGACCCTTTATGATCTGACCATCCCCCTTCTCCTCTTAACTCCCCCTCTTCCAGCCACACTGCTGTCTTCTCTTCCCGCAGCGGGCCAAGTTCATCACCACCGCACCGCCTTTGCACTGCCTGCGTTCGTCCCAGCATGCTGCTGCTGTCGCCGTGCAGGTCTCTGAGGTCGCCCCCACAGAGGGGCCTTCCTGCCTGGTAGCAGCAGCCCTCCTGTGTCCCCACGTCCCCAGCCCCTCTCGTCACTTGCTTTATTTGGAATTGGGATCCCTCTGTTTACTGGCTGACTCCCGCAGTGGCACGTGAGCGCCCCCGAAGGCAGGATCTGGTCCTGCCCGCCACACGGCACCTGCCACCACCGCTAGTTTTTGAGTAAAAGCAAAGTACTGCGCCAGGTGGAGAGGACCCACTTTGCGGTCCTGGCTCTCTCTGGCAAGAACCGGTGGTGGGACCCTGGGCAGGACCACCGCCCACTCTGGGCCTGGGCTTTCCTGTCTGTGAAGTGAGAGCTGGGGCCATCCGAGCAGGTGCTTCGCTGGTGCCACTGACTCAGTGAATGAAACCTGCGCCAGAGTCTACTGTGTGCGGGGTGTGATGCAGACTGCGTGACCCACTGTCCTGGTTTGCTCAGGACACAGGGGTTTTCTGGGATACGGGGCTTTCGGTTATAAAAGCAGGATGGTCCTGGGCAAATGGGGTAAGCCGGCTGCCCCCCACGACCCTCGTTTTAGTCGGGAGGCCGCCTCTGCCTCCAGCTCTGTGCCCCTCCTGACCCCCAGGCTGGTGGGGCCATCTCATCAGAAAGTCCACGCGGTGGGGGAAGGGCTTGCCCAGGGCCACGTGGCTCGGGCAGTGGCAGGGCCAACCCTTAAGCTTCAGCCTTCAACTCTGCACTGAATGTTCTTAGCACAACAACAAAAAAGGACCAGGGGAACAGTACAACTGCCTGGCATTTTGCTGCAAGTGCAGGAAGGGGCTGTTTGCGACTTTTCCTCCACTCGTTAATTAAAATGACAGGCCAGGCCGGCCCCATCTGTTGGTCTCCAAGCTTGCCCAGAAGGACTGAGCCGAGTGGGCTGGGGACAGTCCACTGCGCTCGGCTTGTAAGGCCAGCTCCCAAGTCTCCCTGGTGGGGGCTGGGGGTGAGACGCCCTCCACAGCTAAAAAACCAAAACCGTCTCCTTCCCACGGGAATCAGACTCAGTGGCGGTGAGCTGCCAGGTACCCCAGGCTTTGGACAGAAGGCCAGCCCAGGGCTGGGTGGGGGGCCGGGGCCTGAGCCTGCAGTCCCCCACCAGGCCCACCTGCCCAACCTGGACTCAACGGCACGGACGTCTATGGCAGGAGGCCACGGAACACCCAGGCCAGGCCCAGCCGGAGGGCAAGGCCCGGCCACTGCTCCAGTCCCCCCTGACCACCAGCCTCCCTCCATGTAAGGTCCACGGAACAGTCTGTTTCTGCCCCAAGGGTTGGTGCTTAGATGAGAGGGTGGCTTCACCAAAGGGACAGTTCTAAAAGCGTGAAGGAGGAGCATTTAATGTGGAGCACTTTACTGAAGTCCTTTGAAAGGAGCTCTGCAAACATTCTAGACCAAGGGCTGGCAAAGTCCTTGTCTTGTGAAGGCCCAGAGAATAAATATTCCAGGCTTTTTGGGCAGACAGTTGGTCCCATGTAACTACTCTGTCAATTGTGGGGTGGAGGGAGACGGGCCAATATGTGAACAATGGCAGGGCCGTGTTCCAATAAAACTTTATTTACAGAAACAGGCGACGGGGCAGATTTATCCCATGGGCTGGCGTGTCTAAAGATAGGCTCTAAACGTTCCAAAGACATTTGAATCCACATAAACAATACACGATATGTGACATGCAGTGACGTCTAAGGGGAG